ATATCAATGTTTACTCAAAGACAATTCATATCTCAATAGAATACCACACATGTATTTACACCATCATACACATAAGCAATTTATTATCACTTTCAAAACCAAACATATAATGAAATCAAAATTATCAATCATAACAAATTTAGACAACTTCAACAAACAAGATTAAATAAGTTTATGATGCAATCCTTACTATATAGCCCACCTCTTACCTGATACGTCCACACTTATTTCTTTCAAAGCTTGATGTTATTTTCCAGCAAAATCTATATATGTAATAAAATACTAGTTAGAATTTTATATTTCTATGTTTCTATCTCATAAGAATTTAAATTCACTTTGTGTTGCTAATCCATTTCTAATAATATTTTAAGCTCACATTCAACTTACAATTAACTTAGAAAATTATCCTATTTTGTATGCACTTAAAGTAGGAATAATCCTAATAGCAAACATGAACAAGGTTCAGTATTTCAAAATTTTCTAGAGTTATATAAGCTGTTTTGGCATGAAGTCTGAGCCAAAATTTCAATAACTTAATTATCTACAATATTGATGAAGGAAATAAATTTAAATACCCTATAGCATAAATGCAGTTTTCAGTTTATAGTGGTTGTTTCCAACAAGGCTCAACTATAATAACACTCTGAATATGCCTTGGTAATTTGACTATAACTCATGCTACACATAAGCTATTAACATGAAACAAATTTATAAATTTCGGGAATATAATTTCCTACAACTTTTATGAAGGAATCAAGTCCTAGTGTCACATGTATCAATCCCAGTAATTCAAAAACCAAGGCAGTTGAAACAGGGCAACCTCTTAATGTCACAGCTAGAACACTTGACAGTAAAATGGGTATAACTTGAGCTACAAATATCCATTTGATGTGAAGTCAGTTTCTAAATTTTGAAAATTTAAAGAGCTACAACTTTCATGAAGGAATAAAGTCCTAATTCTGTTCACACAAGTGCCAAAAATTTAGTAAACAGTACCTACGAATTAAGGTATTTAGCTCAACCACTTCTAATCCTCAACTCTATGAATTATTCTAATGTCTTAGGTGTAATACCTACAATAACACTCTTCCCACTCCCATTCAAACTCAACTATGTGAGGAGAAAAATTGAAAATGCACCGTTTTGAAAAATAAAATCGTAGAAGTATAGAGAAGATTGAGAGAAACAAACTTACCTCTTGGAGCTCCTCAAGAAAATAAAAAAATAATTACATTATTTCCTCCTTTTTACTTTAATGAGGATTTGAACCCACAACTCCTAAGACTCAAGCATTACTCCAAACCATATCAATCATTGAATATTTCTTGCCAATTCACACACATAGTAAAATTTTAATGTACCCAAACTCATTGCATACAAGAAAACAATAATTTATAAATATGAATTAAAATTTGTTAAGTCCCTAAGCATACTCAACATTCAGGCACACACATGAGTATTTTTTAACAATTATAAAATAATAGAAAAATTATAATTATTCTAATACACATACAAGAATTAAACCCATGACCCCCAAATTTCATGACAAAGGTCTAACCAAATGTTTCACTCCTCATCTATGCAATATTATTAAATTATTAATTTAATTACTTCTCTTACTTCTAATTTCTACCTTAAAATATATAATTACTATCCGGCACCCAACCGCTCGCAAAATAGGTCAATTTTGAGTATTTTCTAAAAATTCTAAAAAATCATAAATAATCTAATATTGTTAAAATTTAACAACCAAGAGTACTGACAATTAGGATGTTACAACTCCAAAGTTTTTAGCCAAAGAGATTTACATAAAGATTACAAGATCCAAGCTTCAATTCTTATTTGCAATTATTGGGAACTTGAGGATATATAAACTCTTAAATGTAACTAGAATTAAGAAATGTGGGACTTAAAGCTAGTTGAGATGCAGTTTTTGGCCAAGACCAAATAGTCCCACATCTCCTAGGATATTGAGTGATTGAGAGAAAAACAACTATAAATATGACCTCTTGTATAACTTTTTGGGCACATTTAAATGAAATCAAACTTAATGTGGGAAACTTGCATTATTGTTTGTGTCTCAAATTGCTTATCTCCAAGTGTAAGAGTTCTTTTTCCTACTCTCCTAAATAAATAACCTTCCTTAAAGGAGCTAGTGCCAAGTTTCTTAAGAAACTTGGCGCATGATGTAGGGTGTTCGATGACTTTACTTGGTGGAAGGATGACTTTACTTGGTGGAAGGAGAAAGAATTTTTCTATTAGGTATTATTTATCATAATGAATGAATTAGTCTAATTCATATTATTCCTAAGAAATCAAGCTTAACTGTTATTAAAAATGAAAAAGGTGAATTAATTTTTGAAAGACTACAAAGTAGTTAGAAAGTATGTATTTCTTATAGAAAACTTAATTTAGCTACTAGAAAAGAGTATTTTTTTTTTCTTTGCCTTTTATTGATGAAATGCTTGAAAGATTAGCTTTTAAATCTCATTGTTTTATAGATACTTTTTAGAAATATTTTCAAATGTATTTCACTTGAAGATCAATTGAAGACTACATTTATTCTAAGACTACATTTATTTGTCGATTTGAAATCTTTGCTTATAGATGCATGCCTTTTGGTTTAAATTATTGCATAATTTATGTATTTTATTATTGGAATTATAAAACCATGAGAGTTTTCAGGGCAATGAAATTTATAATTTTAGTTGATTAGTTTATGTTAATGGTCATTGGAACCAAAGTATAACATGTTTAACTCTCCAATAAATAAGTATAACGAAATTGAGATAGGGATGATGAGTAATAATCTCATATTGTATTTTGTATAATAACAATACTAGCATAAACAAAAGGCAAACCATTAAAGAGTTATGTTTAAAAAGCAATTATAACATTTAAATAACTATTGATTAAATAAAAGATAACTTTAAAATGCATTGTCTAACAATAATTAAAGAAATATACCTTAAATGCAATGATAACAGTTAAAGAAATATACCTTATAATGACAACAATTGAAAAACAAAATGTTTATGAAAATGTAACAAATAAAGAACCATGGTTTAAATGCAAAAATTGTGGTCTAGAGTAACAATTTAAGACAATGGTTTTAGGGGAAAAACTTTTGCCTTTGAGCAAGGCCCACGACCACATACTCCATCATTGAAAAAGTGTTGTCTATCCATTTCTTGGCCCATAAGAAGATAAATAATCAAATGATTGTGATAATTAATTCACTCTCATTTATATATTTTGGAAACATTATATAGTTTAATTTTTGTGCTTTTGAACAATATATTTTAAACACATTATTTAATGTTATTTATTTTTATGTTGATTATAATATATTTTAAACACATTATTTCAATTGATTGCTTAAAGCCTAAAACATTGGCTTAAAGTTTTATTCACTTAAGTAACAGATGTAGATGTAGGTTGAAAGCAACGGCTAGCTTAAAATTTTGTGATGCAAAATTTTGAGACAACTTTAGTCTCTGTCACAAAATAATTGTGACAAATTTCATTCATAAACTAAAATCCTCTTTGATATCATGAATAAGGACAAAATTGAGTGTCAAATGTCTTTTCAAGTTTCCTTCGTTTATTACAACTTAACCACTCAGCCCTATCCTTATCTTGACCCTTTCAAACTACACATCTTGTTTTGTAATTTACACTTGATTCTTAAAACTTAATGGTAATTAAATATCATATTAACTAATTGTTTCCTGTGAAAATTAGATCGATTTCGATTTCTCAGATACTTTAGTTCTAACCAAATTTCAACCACGTAGATTCTTTTTATTTAGGTTAGCAAACAGTTTTCAATCGAAATATGTATAAGAATCGAAAATCTCATAGTATCAAAAAACACTAACAACGCAACTTAGTATGCAGATTGACAATCAACAGTACTATTTTTGGTATTTTGTATTAAGAAACTCGAAGTAAAGAAAACAGTAAAAAGTATTGAATCGAAAAAGCATTGCAGAATATTAAATTGCAGAGAAATGTAAAATGCGGAAACCTCAAATTGCATTAAATGTAAATGACAAGGAATTAAAATTGCAGAAATATAAATAGCAGGAAATCGATATTACAGAAACGGTAAATGACAAGTAATTTAAGTACAGAATCTTACATTGCATTAAAGGTAAATGACAAGAAATTGAAAGTACAGAAACTTAAATTGATGAATGTAAATTACATGAACGTAAATTACCAGGGAAAGTAAAGAAAGCGATAAAGACAATCAACGATAATGGAAACCCAGAGCATTAGAAACTTCATGATGCGTCGTTCTCCTGTAGACTTTTCACTAGCATTTCTGTTATCTCTGCCAATTCCCCCTTTTTCCTTCACTCTTCGCTCTATTTATAGAACATCCTTCATGTAACTTCCTAAGAGCAGTTAATAAAAACTGCTACCACGTTCCATGTGCACGTCCCTCGAAGTTTTACCTTAGTTCTACGGTTTAGAAAACTGCTTCCACGTTCCATACGCGTTTTAACCGTTCCTCAATTTATAACCTAGTCATAATTTCGATAGTCATGTAGGTTAACATTTCCCTCAATCTCGATTTCAAATCTCGAGAACTTTGAATTGCTTTTGATTTCCCTTAACCTTAACATTACACTTGATTTTAATTTCTCGATTTTTCTTCAGCAATAGACATCAAGTATTATTCTTTCGATTATCGATTCCAATATTCATACTATTATGTGATTATCGAATTTCTTCCAACCATCTTTTCAATTTATCAATTTTTTAATTAATCATATGATGCTCCATTTTCTTTCCTCCACTCTTTGATCCTTATATCCATTTTTTTTCACTAACACAAATATAATACTCTATAGTGAAATATAAGCTTTAATTATTTTATTTAGTCATGCGTTAATTTATTACAACAACCTAAACATGTATTTAGTGCTTACATATTTCACTTTTCTCTCCTTACGAGAAACCGCACATGACTTGTCCGACGCAGCGGTGGTTCATGCAGTTGCAGTTGCGGTTGCAGTTGATGCTTGTGAAAGTCTCTTAAACCGAATCCATAAGCGACTCTCCTCAGTCTTAGTCACCACGAATCGCCTCTTGTTATCAATTCCGACGTAGCCACATCCGCCACGATTAGGACAGAACAAGAGGTTGTAGCCCCCGATCTCAACCGGAACCTTCTCAATTCGAAACCAACCGGGTATAGTGTTGTCGTACCCAGTAAGTTTAACCGGGTGTCTCTTTCCTAAACCCTTCACAACAGTCCAGATTGAAGGAGTGGGAGCACACGGGAGTACGAAAGTGAAGCGAAGGTACAAATTAAGGCCTTCTGAGACATAAAGGAGTTTAACTAGGGATGAAATTTGTACTGGTTGGCCGTTAGAGAAGGGAGAGGGATTTTGGGCAACAGTTAAAGGGCAAGTTTCGTTTCCTGTTGCGGCAAATTCTGGTCCACCCCCGTTTCCAGTTATTATAACAGGTATTATATGATATATGCCACCATTTCGAACAGGATTTCCATCCGTGTCCAACACAAAACCAACGGTGGTTGATGGAAGGTATGTGGCGAAGGCAGAGAGTAAAAAGAGAGAGAACAAGGTCGTGCTCTTCATTTCTTCAGAGGGTGTGGAAGGTTTATCTTGTTCAGTTTGTGTGAACAAGCAGCGTTGCAAGCATTTATTTATAGATGTGCTGGTTATAGACTGAATATTTGATAGATAAGAAAGGAGTACAAGATTTTTTACATCCATCAATTATATAAATCAAAATATAATAAAAATAAAATATGAAGTGATGGAAAAATAGATATGATATTAAAAAAATATTATATAAATAAATAAATATATTTTCTAATTTTATTAAAATTATTCTTAAGTCATTGAATTCTTTTTATTTTGTGCTCCTGATCTGATATGTTTAAATCCACGGACTACACTCTTATAATAAATAATAAATAACATGTGTGTATTGAGACTGTAAAAATATATTACTTCAAACAAAAATAGTGTTGGTCCCACAAAGAACAGAGGTGGCAAATGTAATACGCAATGTGAGGTGGAAGATATAAATTGGGTACAACCAAGACTACAACTATCATGCCCTTTCAAATATCACATATGGGTACAAAAACGATATAAGTAGTTTGATTCAGGAAAATAAGCACGTTTTTTTGGCATTAGTCATGCTCCCAAATCTTAAAGAGGGTAATATGTAATCTGACGGTACAACTAAACCTACAATCATCACAGCCCTCAAATAACCAAGTTAGAAGTTATTTAATTACATTAGTTTCCTAATTACAAATTAAATTAATTATTAATTTTAGTTATTAATTCAAAATTAGATTCTATTTTAATAATTTAGAGTCTAGTTTTAATTATTTACAAAAATTTTGGTAACTAAAATTATAGACCATCTAAGGTTTTAATTCAAATATTAATTTAGATAAAATAATTTATCTATAAATTATTTTTGAAAATCAATTAAGAATATTATGATATTTTTTATATATTTTGTAACTCGTCTATATTTAATACGTTAAAAAAGGAATTTTAATGAAAGATAATTATATATATAAATTTAGATTTTTTTTTAATGTTTGATTAAAATTCGATATTAATATAAGAGACATATAATTATGTCATACTTCATGAGCAATATAATTTTACGTCAAATTTATACAATCCCAACATCAATTTATATTGGAGGACCAAAAATAAAAGGGTTTTACAAATATAAAAAATCACACAAATTTATATCGATTAGATCCTTAATCAACATAAATTTAGGTAGAACTTTTTCGTTTCTTCCTAATGTTTGGTTTTTTCATACAACCAAAACCTATATAGAAATTTTGAATAAAATAGAACCTCAATAGTCTGAAATACAATTAAATTATCCAATTAAACTACTTAAATGTCAAACTACGTAATTATTTAACTAAATTACCCAAAATTCAAAATAGCAATTATTTTAAAAGATAAACTATATAATACAAGATAAACTAAACTTAAAAAACTAAGTACTATGTATTTTGAACAAAACACCTTGGCTATTACTTTCTTTGTTGTGCATATCAACTTTCGATAATCAAGATGAATCTTGAAAGATATCACACGTCAATTTGACTCTCATTACATGTAATACTTATAAAAATAAATAAACTTAATAAATGTTTAAATGAATTACTTTCGTACAAAAATTAGTAATACCTGTAGAAGTATGATTCTCATCCAATACATGATATAGAAATCACATTGATATGAGTTTGTTTATCTATTACACCAATAAGTAACAATACACAATATTATTTTCAAAGTTTATATACAAACAATAATTATAGTCATTGTTAAAGAAATTCCTAACCTTAGGATAAATGAAATGAAAATTCTTTTTCTGTCTTTTCCACTTAAATATTACTTATAGACATAATGGATAAAATCTTAAACAAATGATAAAAATTGGTTAAATATTGATAGAATTATAAGAATAGAAAATAGAGAGAAGGAACATAAGATATATTATCTTATTGTGCTAAGAGTGACATTACCAAACATATTAGGAAAGCCAAGAATGTGTCATTTGCCTACCCTACTAGTTGAACCTTGTTATTGGGAAGAAGCACTAGATTAACATCTTGAACTTCATCAACTATTACCACCATCCAATTTAGTTGTAGAGGGACACCACAGATGATTAAGCTACCTTAAAAACTCGGCTACTTGCCCCTAGACATGAGGGGTCATCTTTAACATATAACTCACACTGGTTTGGTACATCAGTGTGAGTATATTCCCTTGAGAGATATACAACAACAACATAACTCTCATTAGTGCTAACTCGAAAAACATCATCTTGAATCGCATGAAGGGTTCCTTGACATTATTGCTGAGAACAAGCAAGAGATTTAAGCTTGTCATTGAACTCTTGCAGGAAGGACTATCATATTTGATTTAGCTTTTCTTCAAATTGCGAGACCTACTAACTACAAAAATTGATAGTTATCCTTCATGATGGTGAACCAAAGTAATCATGGAGGCCCTACGATTCATCAATACTATGCAAACATCCTGGATGCTCTATTCTTACTAAGGTCATCATCAATGTGTCTTCTCAACCATGGGAAAGAAATGAGTCTTGAGTGACTTATTCAACTAAATCGTCCTGTAACATATTAACAATAAGTAAGCAACACACTGCATTATGTAGGAATCAAGTAAGATTGACATTATAAGTATGTTTATTTTTAATATATATGATTTTCTTAACAATGATTATGAATAAAATGTTGGATTTGCAAAGTCAATGAAGACTAAAGCATTATGGTCTAGTGTGAGAGAGATATTGTGTCTTAATCCTTTCTATAAATTAATCTTTATAGAAGATAAAACGATTGCTTCGATTTTTTTAAAATAATTTGGTTGAAAATTATTTTAATTTGATAAAATTGCATTTAATTAGAATAAATAAAATTTTTTCCAAGTTACTATGTTTCGATATTTTTAACAAAGTCTCGATGGAAACTTTTGTTACTATGATTCAATGTTAGTTTTTAAAATTATTTTAATCTTGCCTTTAATAAGAATCTATAAAAATTTTCAAAGTTACTATGTTTCAATGTTTTTAACAAAGACTCAATGGAAACTTTTTTATCTTACTTTGTTTTGATATTTTTTTAAGTCTTAATACATTTCATTATCACCTGATGATTCTTAAACAGTCTCGACAACTTTATGACTTTCTATTTCAAAACATATTTTTTGTTTCAATAAATTTTTTTTGTCTTGATATTAAGCAACTCTCAATTTTTCTTAAACTCATAATTTTTTTTCTCATCTCTCGATTTTTCTTAAACTCTTGATTTTTTTTTCCCATCTCTCGATTTTCTTAAACTCTCAATTTTTTATAATTGGATCTCAAATCGATAATCTTCTTAAAGAAGATATTTTCGAAAATCGATAATATCTTATAATTTTTTTTTCTTCTAAAAACTCTATTTTTAACTCAATATTTTAATCAATTCAACAAATCGTTATAATCGTTTTTAAGACAATTATAACTATATGACGTTACTATGTATACAAGCTTTCTTCATTCATTTTAAAAATATATACACGATATACAATCTCAAGAGAAAAAACAAGATTTTAAGAAGAGATTTACATGTACTTTTACTATGTGATAAACAAGATTTTAAGAAGAGATTTACATGTACTTTTACTATGTGATAAACCAAATATTCATTTAAGGCATATCTTCTATTCTCTTAGAGAGATTTCTTAAAGATTGTGATTTTGCACTTAGATTTCTCTGGTGTATAATCTTTCCATGTATTTTCTATCTTTGTATTCTTTTCTTTTATGGTGTATTTGTGGTATCTGGTGATTGGTACTAGTTTGTGTTAGAATCACGCAGCAGAATATTCGCGTATAGGGACAAAAACCAAGAGGGGGTGAATTGGTTTCTTACAAAAATTAGGATTTTGAAATTTTTTTCCCAAATTTCACCAATTAAAATGCTTGTAAAGTAAAGAGATAAAGGATAAGAAGATTACACAAATGTTTTATATTAGTTCGGATCAAAAGATCCTACGTCCAGTTGTTAATCACTCTAAAAGATGATTAACGTTGTCACTATAATCACAGTTTACAACAATCTTGTCACCTATATCTCATCAAAGAATTTGTAAGGAAATAATGTAGTACTAGGGCTGACCTAAGTCGTGTCTTCGATGAGAATTGCTTAGTTTTTTCAAATCATATGAAATTGTGGTTGTTATTATATGTTTAAGAACTTGGTTGTAGTTTTTGGTATATATCGATTTTCTACTTTCTGTATTTTTAATCAATTGAATTTTTTATTTGTGGAACCCAACTGAAATTAGTTTAGAACTGGATGTAACCTAATGGATTTGGTGAACCAGTATAAATTTGGTGTTCTTGTTCTTTTTTCATCTCATTCTTTTATTTAAGATTGTTATTATTTGGTTCAAGTTAATATTGGTTTTGATTAGATCAATAATTGTGAAAAATTTTGATTAGATCAATTCACCCCTCTTGATCTCAACCTATTTTTCTAACATGTTCATCTATATATATATATATATATATATATATATATATATATATATATATATATATATATATATATATATATTTTTATCACGCTCCAATAGGATTAACACTACAAAAAAGAAACCTATTACCTACGGAATATTATCTACGGATAAAAATTCGTAGGTAAATTTTACATTATCTACGGATATTACCCACGGATAAAAATCCGTAGGTAAATTTTACATTACCTACGGATATTACCCACGGATAAAAATCCGTAGGTAAATTTTACATTACCTACGGATATTACCTACGGAATTCTATCCGTATTACCTACGGATATTATCCGTATTACCTACGGATATTATCCGTATTACTTACGGATATTATCCGTAGGTAATGTAATCCGTGGATAATTCCGTAGGTAATTACCTACGTAATTACTATCCGTAGGTAAAGTGTACATTACCTACGGATATTACCTACTGAATTCTATCAGTGAATAATTATCCATTACCTACAGATATTATCCATAGGTAATGTCATCAGTAGGTAATTACGTAGGTAATTGCTATCCAGTAGGTAAATTATATTAAACTAAAATAATTGTCACTAGCAAGAATCGAACCTAAGTACCTTAAAGTTGGAAACTAATACTCCAACCACTAAACTATTAGCATATTCTAATAATGATTTACAAATAAATTATACTTATATTTATTCGTGTAAATATATAAATATATAAATATATAAATATATAAATATATAAATACATAAATACATAAATACATAAATACATAAATACATAAATACATAAATACATAAATAGATAAATACATAAATACATAAATACATAAATACATAAATAGATAAATACATAAATATATAAATATATAAATATATAAATATATATATATATATAAATATAAATATATATATAAATATAAATATATAAATATATATATATATATAAATATATAAATATATAAATATATAAATACAAATATATAAATATATAAATATATAAATATATAAATATATAAATATATAAATATATAAATATATAAATATATAAATATATAAATATATAAATATATAAATATATAAATATATAAATATATAAACATATAAACATATAAATATATAAATATATCAAAATGTAAATATATTTTATATTTATATATTTTATATATTTTATATTTATATATTTTATATTTATATATTTTTTATATTTATATATTTTATATTTATATATATTTTATATTTATATATATTTTATATTTATATATATATATTTTATATTTATATATTTATATATATATTTTTATATTTATATATTTTATATTTATATATTTTTTATATTTATATATTTTATATTTATATATTTACACGGATAAATATAAATATAATTTATTTGTAAATTATTATCAAAATATCCTAATAGTTTAGTGGTGGAGTATTAGCTCCAACTCGAAGTATCTGGGTTCGAATCCTGCTAATGACAATTCCCTTAATCTAATAATAATTCAAAGTTTTGAAAATATAATATAAAGGGGAGGGGGTAGATAATTACCTACGACCAAATTACATACGGATTTCCTACGAAAAGAAATCCGTAGGTAAAGTGACATTACCTACGGATTTTACCCGTAGATAATAAACTTTTTTTTGTAGTGTAAGGAGAACATTATTATCATATGATTATTATATTTTTTTATACTGTAAGAATAACTATTATTATTGATATTGTTGATAGTTATTAATAATTAATAGGAGAATTTTATGTAACTAATTGAAAAAAATATAATAGTAATATTGGTTATTTTAAGATTAATTAGTGATTTAATATAATGGTTAAATTTCTGCTAAGGTGCAAGAACTATTTTGCAAATTTTGAAGATGATTATATTTGAAGATGATCCCTTTGAGTGCTCTAATGTTTTTTCACACTTAATTAGTGATCAATTAATTCGATTTCACAAATATTGTTGTATATATAAGAAATATCCTTCGAGAACATCCGATAAAATTGAAACGAGGAGGAAACAATTAACTCTTACGTGGCTACATTGTGCTCGTAAGCGACGGTGATGTTTGGGACCATGATGGTGTAAGGGTTGGTTGTACCCATCTTCTCACCTATTTGGCATACTGTTCGGGGACCATCGTAGCTCACATTGCCAAAAACGTGCTTTCTTGAGTATACTAGTTTTATTGAATCATACAAATTTATTATAAAATTTACATAAATAATAATTATCAATAATTCAAAAACTTTTTTATAAAAACATTATTACAATAATTAAAAACTTAAAAAAAATACAATAAAGTAGAAAGTTTTTCAGTATTTATTTTTAAAGTCATATAATTTGGTTATCTTGTTATATATTTAATATAAAATATACAAAATGACACCTTATGTATATTTAGTATAAAATTAAAATTTCAAAAAAGAATAAAATATTAAACAAATATGACATGAAATACCTTTATAATGAAAATACTTTATTTATATTTGAATTTTTTAATCAAAGAATTCACCATTTTGAATATTTTGTTTCATCAATATATTGTCCAAATACATTACATTCTACTTTAAAATTGTTAAGATAAAGAAAAAAAAGTTATTGTTAGAAATAATTCAGTTTAAAAAAATAATGATATAGTCTAAACAATTTGTGAATTTTACTCATGGGTCTTTAAACAAACAATATTTATTTTTGTCTTCTTGTCATTTTTCTAACTCTCTTTTGGTCCTATTACCTATAAACCATTAAAAGATCTAAGAATTTATCAAATTTAATATTCTTCCTAGATATTTCAACAAAATAACACATAAAAATATGATAATCAAATATATTTTATTTTATTTTACTATTTAAAACATAAAAAATAAAGTAGTATTATTTCTAGATATTCTTTTTTCATCTTGCATTCACTCTATAATTACAATGACATAATCAGATTCAACAAAATAAGCATATAAATTGTCTAGTCAAAATAATAAGATAGAGTAACATTACTTATAAATGTTTTCTCTCATGTTCTTATTCACATCCTTAATTCAACTTACAATATTGTAAACATCACATAATATTATAAAAGTTACAATGACACAATCAAGTTATTATTGACAAATTTACAAATATATCGAAGGGAATATATCAAGAAGTATAGGAGGTGTTAAAAGAAATAAAGATAGTGAATGAGGATAATCAAAGTTATTAAGAGTTGAATGCTGAGATTGAAAGAATCAAATTAAGACTAAAAGGTAAACTTAAAGCGATGAGTTGAAATGTGTGGATCGAAGGTACAAGCTTTAAGTGCTTAGAAAATGTTCAAAGGTACATATTATCGAGAAAGAGATTGGGTTGAACAAACAAGAAGTCAATAAAGGATATAGTATGATTAGTCAAACGTTGAAGATCTAAGAGTTGAAAATATCGAATACAGGGTTGCAAATCAAAAGGAATAAGACATCGAGAATAATTTATGCAACAGAGAGATATGCGGTAATAGTTATAGTCACATTACGTGATATGTGCGTCTATGGATATTATGCGACAACAAAGTGGATCGAAGAAGAGGGAAAGTGGTTAGAGGAAAGTAACTGTTCGAGAATTTTATCTGACTTCATCTTAATTTTATTTTTATTTCTTATTTTTATATATTTAAGTATTTTAGCGGTTACACAAGGAAAATATAAATAGGGTGAAATGAATGTAAGAGTGGTGATCGTCAAATTGTACGAAGAAACTTACATTCTGAAAAAGATATGATCAAGGGATCAACATTTCTTATACTTTCTTAGAGAGATTTTCTTAAGATTGTGATTATGCACTTCGAATACTTTTGTATAATTTTTCTGGTGTTTTCTTTCATTGTATTCTTTCTTTTATGGTGTATTTATGGTACCTGATGGTGGGTATTGGCGCTGTGGCTCAATGATTTGGGAGGCCTAAAGAAAATTTAAGAATGAGATCTTTTATTTAGTAATAAAATAATTTATATTAAAATGTATCATAGTTTTATTTAAAATTTATTTTTTGAGCTTTGTGTGATACAAAATTATCTATTAAATTGTCATAATTAATTTTATTTAACATTTCTTTTTCAATAGATAATAAAGTCAGTCTATTTAATCTTTGTTGAGACATGGTTGATCTTAAATAGTTTTTTATTATTTTTAATTTTGAAAAATTCCTTTCAACTTAAAACAACTGATACTTGAAATTGTTAACATTATTCTATAAGCTATATATGCATTTGGAAAAGAATTTATTATTTTTATATAATTAATAATGTCAATTGGTTTATCATTTTCCAATCCTATAATTTCCTTTAAGATATTTAATTCTGAAAATAAATTTAATCCATTAAGATCCAACAAATTATTATGTTTCAAAGATTTTTCAAGGTTTAAGCATTTTTCTTTCAAAAGTATATAGTGTAGTGATTTTAATTTTTTAACACTAAATAAAAAACCAAAAATATCTTCATATATTTTAAATTGTTTAAATATACTTTGAAGCATAGTAATTGTTTTATCTACAATGTACAAAAAGTAATCAATTCTAAATGATTCTTGAAAAGATTTTACAATTTCATTATCAATATTTTCATCAAATTGTTTCTTTCTACGACTAATACATTTTTCACGAAACTTAGGTTCTATATCTATTTAAAAAACAATTTCCTTAACAAAAATCAATGCATTTTCAAATCCATTTTCTCTGTACTTTTAAAAAAATGAAAGGAGACCTTTTAATTGTTCAATAACTTCATCAATGCACGTATCTTTTTATTGTAAATTCTTAGTAACTGAGTTAACTGCAAATAAAAAATGTCATACCAAATATTCATGCCTAACAAAAATTCAAAATTTTCTAATTCATAAGTTGCTAGACAATCAGCTTCACTTTTTATTTTAGGATCATTACTAGCTTCAGCTAATTCAAATAAAACATCTCTTATGTGTGAAGTTTGAAATCTTTCAGCTTTCACGCTTTCAATACAATTTTTCCAACGTGTTTCTGACAATAATTTAAGAGTTAAGCTATGTATATGGTCATGTAAAATTTTTCACCTTTCCGTAGAAGAAGAAAATAAAGTATATATAAGTTGTGACAAAAAAAAAAAAAAACCTTAAATAGGGTAATTATAACATTTAAATAACATTGATGTTATAACTCAATATGGGATCCTATCCTTAACTCGACTCTAGTTTCTCGCTCTCTTTCCATGCGGGTCAAGATTCATGTTGGAAGAGAGTCCCATAAACCTCTAACAAATATAATACTCTATGGGGAAATATAAGCTTTAATTATTTTATTTAGTCATGCGTTAATTTTATTACAACAAACTAAGCATCTATTTAGTGCTTACATATTTCACTTTTCTCTCACTTCGAGAAACCACACATGACTTTTCCGACACAGCGGTGGTTCATGCAGTTGCAGTTGCAGTTGCAGTTGCAGTTGATGCATCTGAAAGTCTCTTAAACAGAATCGGTAAGCGTCTCTCCTCAGTCTTAGTCACCACGAATCGCCTCTTGTTATCAATTCCGACGTAGCCACATGTACCACGATTAGGACAGAACACGAGGCTGTAGCTCCCAAAGCCAAACGTCTTAATTCGAAACCAACCGGGTATAGTGTTGTCGTACCCAGTAAGTTTAACCGAGAGTCTCTTTCCTAAACCCTTCACAACAGTCCAGATTGAAGGAGTGGAAGCACACGGGGGTACAAAAAGGAACCCAATGTTCAAATTAAGGCCTTCTGAGATAAAAGGGATTCTAGCTGGGGATGACATACGTACTGGTAGGCCGTTAGAGAATGGAGAGGGATTTTGGACAACTGTTAAAGGGCATGTTTCGTTTCCTGTTGCGGCAAATTCTGGTCCACCCCCGTTTCCAATTACTCTAACAGTCGGCGTTATATGATATACGCCACCATTTACAACAGGATTACCATCAGTGTCCAACACAAAACCAACGGTGGTTGATGGAAGGTATGTGGCGAAGGCAGAGAGTAAAAAGAGAGAGAAAAAAGTCGTGCTCTTCATTTTTTCCAGAGGGTGTGGAAGGCTTATCTTGTTCAGTTTGTGTGAACAAGCACCGTTGGAAGCATTTATTTATAGATGTGCCGGTTATAAAGTGAACATTTTATAGATAAGAAAGGAGTAAAAGAAATTTTACATCCATCAATTATATAAATCAAAATTATAATAAAAATAAAATATGAAGTGATGGACAAATAATTTTATTTTATTTTATTTTTTTAATTTTATATATTTAAATTCGTTATTTTTTTTAATGATAAACCTGTGTATATTAAGAACGTATAAATACATTATACTTGAAAAATAAATTATATCCGTAAAATATATATATATATATATATATATTTTGTGTAAGGGATAAAAGGGTTTTCAAGATATTACTAATCTAAATTTATAGTAGGCAGGACCATGAACATGTTTTTAACCTTTTAATGGTGTTGGTCCCCACAAAGAACAGAGGTGTCAAATGTAATATGCAATGTGAGGTGGAAGATATAAATTGGGTACAACCAATACTACAGCTATCATGCCTTTCTTATATCACATATGGGTACAAAAACGATATAAGTAGTTTGGTTCAGGAAAATAAACACGTTTTTTTGGCATTAGTCATGCTCCCAAATATTAAAGAAGGTAATATGTAATCTGACGGTACAACTAAACCTACAATCATCACAGCCCTCAAATAACCAAGTTAGAAGTTATTTAATTACATTAGTTTCTTAATTAGAAATTAAATTAATTATTAATGTTAGTTGTTAATTCAAAATTAGATTCTATTTTAATAATTTTGAGTCCAATTTTAATTATATACACAAATTTTGGTAACTAAAATTATAGACCATCTTCTATTTTAATTCAAATATTAATTTAGTTAAAATAATTTATCTATAAATTATGTTTGGTAATAAAGAATGTTATGATATTTTTTTATATATTTTGTAAGTTTCATATATTTAATATGTTAAAAAGGATTTTAATAAAAGACATTTTTTTTTATGTATGTTATTTTGAATTTTTTTTATGTTTGACTAAGGTTAAACAAATGATAAAAATTGGTTAAACACTGATAGAATTATAAGAATAGAAAATGGAAAGATGGAACATAACATATATTATATTATTGTTGCTAAGAGTGACATTATCAAACATATTTGGGAAAATAAGAATGTGTTGATTGATTACCCTACTAGTTGAACCTTGTTATTGGGAACAAGCATTGGATTAACATCTTGAATTTCATTAACTATTACTATTGTCTAATTTAGTTGTAGAGGGACATAATGGATGATTAAGTCACTCTTAAAAACTCAACTACTTGTCACTAAACATGAGAGGTCATTTTTAACATATAACAATAACAACATAACTCCCGTTAGTACTGACTCGAACAACATCATCTTAAGTTGTATGAAGGGTTCTTTGAATTTATTACTAAGAATGAACAAGAAATTTAACCTTGTCATTGAAGTCTTGCAGCAAGAACTATGTATTTGATTAAGTTTTTCTTCAAACTGCGAAATCTACTAACTACAAAAGTTGATAGTTATCCTCGAACAACATCATCTTAAGTTGTATGAAGGGTTCTTTGAGTTTATTACTAAGAATGAACAAGAAATTTAATATTGTCATTGAAGTCTTGCAGCAAGAACTATGTATTTGATTAAGTTTTTCTTCAAACTGCGAAATCTACTAACTACAAAAGTTGATAGTTATCCTTTGTGATGGTGAACCAAAGTAATTATAGAGGCCTTACAATTCATCAGTATTGCACACACATCCTGGTGCTCCAGTCTTACTAAGGTTATCATCAATATATCTTCTCAACCATGGGGAAGAAATGTGCCTTGAGTGACTTATTCAACTAAATTATCCTACAACATATTAAAAATATTTAAGTCACACACTATATTATGTAAGAATCAAGTGAGATTGACATTATAAGTATGTTTATTTTTATTTATGATTTTCTTAACCATGATTATGAAGAAAATGTTAGATTTGATGAAGTCAATCTACAACAAACTCCTAAAGTCGATGAAAACTAAAGCATTATAGTCTAGTATGTGAGAGATATTTTGTCTTAATCCTTTCTATAGGAACTAAAGCATTATAGTCTAGTATGTGAGAGATATTTTGTCTTAATCCTTTCTATAGGAACTAAAGCATTATAGTCTAGTATGTGAGAGATATTTTGTCTTAATCCTTTCTATAGGCTAATCTTTATAAAAGATAGTACGATTGCCTCAATTTTTTTTAAATAACTTGGTTGAAAATTATTTTAATTTGATAAAATTGCCTTTAATAAGAATCAATAATTTTTTTCCTAGTTACTATGTTTCGATATTTTAATAAAGTCTCAATAGAAACTTTTGCTACTATGATATGTTAGTTTTTGAAAATATTTTAATATAATAAAGTTTCCTTTAATAAGAATATATGAAAATTTTCAAAGTTACTATTTTTCAATGTTTTTAACAAAGTCTCAATGGAAACTTTTTTATCTTACTTTGTTTAGATATTTTATTAAGTCTGAATACATTTCATTGTCACCTTATTTTGATGATTCTTAAACAGTCTCGATGACTTTATAACTTTCTATTGCAAAACATATTTTTTGTCTCGATAAATTTTTCGTGTGTCTCTTAATATCAAACAACTCTTAATTTTTCTTAAATTCTCGATTTTTTTTCTCGTCTTTCAATTTTCTTAAACTCTCAATTTATTTCTCATTTCTCGATTTTTCTTAACTCTAAATTTTTTATAATTGGATCTCAAATTGATAATCTTCTTAGAGAAGAGATTTTCAAAAATAGATAACATCTTACAATTTTTTTTTCCTAAAAAGTCTTTTTTTAACTCAATATTTGAATTAATTAAACAAATCACTATAACCGTTTTTAGACAATTATAACTATATGATGTTACTAGTATACAAGCTTTGCTCATTCATTTTAAAAATATATACGATATACAATTTTAAGAGACAAAAACAATATTTTTAGAAGAGATTAACATGTACTTTTACTATGTGAAAAACCAAATATTCATTTAGGGCATATCTTCCATTCTCTTGGACAAATTTCTTAAAGATTGTGATTCTACACGTAAATTTCTCTAGTGTATAATCTTTCCATGTGTTTTTTATATTTGTATTCTTTTCTTTTGTGGTGTATTTGTGGTACTTGGTTATTGGTACTGGTTTGTGGTATCTGGTGATTGGTATTGATTGGTGATAACCTGGTGTGAGTTATTGGTGGTGTCAAAAGTGATTATTGGATGTTTAAACAATTCTTGTGATAGATCGAGTATATCTATTGGTTGTATTTTTGAAATCGAATATTGTTATAGTGGAACTCAACTAGCTGTGTTGAGAATTGGATGTAACCCAAGTACAACGGGTGAACCAGTACAAAAATCAAACATTTTGTCTCTTTTCTCTTACTATTTGCATTAGTTTTAGTATTCTTGCTTTTAATGATTCTTGAAAAGATTTAATTATTTTCTTGGGAGTTGGAAATTTTATTAAGTTTTCTGAAAAAGTTTTAAAAGATCAATTCACCCCCTTGATCTTGGTCATGATTTCTAATAATTGGCATCAAAGTTGTTCCTTGAAATTTATTCAAGTTTCGGTCCAAAAGTTTGTCAATGACTGAGAACGAATTGCCTTTTGTAGAAGGGGCTTCAATTACCAATTTGTGCATCTTCTTCGCTTTTTCCCCTTCATTTTCATATGTTGTGCGTCTAAATTCGACATCGAAATCAAAACTTATCCATTTTCGAACATTTTCTGTTTTCTTTTCTTCATCATAAAACCTTAAACCTTATATACTATAATATCTTCTCTTCACATCATACCATATTATAATTCAAACTACAAATTATTATATAATTAATACAAAAAACAATAAAATATAAAAATGCAGTGTATAAACCGTAAATTCACTCAAAAGCATAAATAGATAATCACAAACTACAATAATTTAATTTCAATAACAATCCAATGGAGACATTCATGCAATAATGTGATTAAGATCCCCAAAAACAATCACAGATTCAATTTTAACATAAAAGAGGAGACACATAGAACATTAACCTCAAATATACAAAACATGCTCTAAAACTTGAATTCAATCAAAGAGAAACGTCAATCACCACAAATGGGATACAATGTAGGTGTTTTTGTTACTCACTATAGTCAAAATGTACCTTGAGAGTAGCTGGTTTGATCGTTGTCGTCATTGCCACCTGACGTAAAAAATAGCTTTTACTAGAGGTCGACGTAAAATTAACATCCCTTATTTACAAAAATACCACCACCGTATTTTTTTATGTCGTTTATTTTTGGGTCGACGAGAATTGGGTGACGTAAAAAGTCTATTTTGCACTAGTGTAAATGATTTGGTATTGTATCATGGGTGAAGATAAAACAAAATGGTTGTTGAAAATTTTTTTAGAATTTACTGACAGAATTTTGTCAATAAATGATGGACAAATCCTTCAATAATTATCGCCAGATTATCAGTAAGTATCATTGATGGGTAAATGATTTCTATGTCTTCCAACAGATTAGATTATGTCAGTCAGTAAAACCAATATTTTTTGTAGTACTAGGAGATTAGGAGAAAAAAATATCCAAAGACACTTAAGATAAACCAATTCGGGGTACAAGCCAATAATGCAAGTTTCACACACTAATTTTGACTTCATTCAAATGTTCCAACAATGCTACATAAAGGGATGTATTTATAGTGTTCCTCCTCTCATCCACTCCATGTACTAGGAGATGTGGGACGTTTTGGCCTCTTAGCAAGTGATGGTTGAATAACCTTGCCTAAGTCCCACATTCTTTTCTATTATGGATTCCTACGTGTTTATATAACTATGTGTTTCGAATGGTTGCAAACAAGAATAATAATGTAGTCTCAAGGTTTTGGGTATGGCCGAAACTATGCCTTGGCCGAGAATGTGTAGCTCCATTTTTATTTAGCTTTTTGTTCCTCTCCTTGTTCGCCTCCTCTTTTAAGTCCCACATTGATATAATGAGAGGATTTCTAAGTGCTTATATACCAATGGTCTTTGTTAATGTGCAACCAATTAATGTGGTTAAGAGTAGTGGTTGTAGACTTCTCCTTGTATCAAATTCTTGGGTAGTTCCTTGCGTGGCTAGAACCATAGCTTGTGTGCCTGGTTCCTTGGCTGTGGTCTCCATTCTACAAAATGAAATATATTTGAGTTTTGATTTTATTTGAGAGGGAAACATTTCCTTTCTCAAATGTAACAAAACTCAATCCTCTTCCTCAATTAAAACCTTTTTTTCTCCCTTTATTGTTGCATTCAACATATTTTTGTGTTTATTTTTTAATATGTTCTTTAATCTTTTCATGATATCTTTTGACAAACTTTGCCCTCGATACTCCTTCCTCGCATGCACTATGCAAGAGCGAGGAATGAGGGCGCGACATAGGGAGATGACTAACAATGGCAACGAGGGATGTAGGGAATAGAGGGAGGGAGTGAGCAAGAGGGAGAAAACGAGAGGAGATGCAGGGAGGAGGAGGCACGAGAGAGGAAGGAAGAGTTGAAAATATTAAATTCAGGGTTGCAAGTCGAATGGAACAAGACATCAAGAAGAATTTATGCAACCGAGAGATATGCAGAAACAGTTACAGTCACATTATGTGATATGCGCACCTATGAATATTATGTGACAACAAAGTGAGTCGAGGAAGAGTAAAAGCGGGTCGAGGAAGAGTAAAAGCAGTTATAAGAAAGTAACTATTTGTGAATTTTATTTACATTTCATGTTTTTTTTTTACTTCATCTTAATTTTGTTTTTATTTCTTACTTTTATATATTTAAATATTTTAGCAGTTACACAAGGAAAATATAAATAAGGTGAAATAAATATAAGAGTGGTGATTGTTAAATTGTATGAAGAAACTTATACTCCGAAAAACACTATGAACAAGCGATAAACATTTCTTATACTTTCTTAGAGAGATTTTCTTGAGATTGTGATTATGCACTTAGAATACTTGCTGTATAATTTTCTAGGTGATTTCTTTCATTGTATGTTTTCCTTCCTGGTATATTTGTGGTACCTGATGGTGGATATTGGTTGGTAGCAACCTGATGTGGGTTGTTTGGAGTGTCAAGAGTGGTTCTTGGGTGTTCAAGAAGCTCTTAGGGTATATTGAGTGTGTCTACTGGTGTGTGTATCTATGAATCGACTAATTGTTATAGTAGAATTTAACTGATTGTGTTGAGAACGGGATGTATCCCAAGTGATTTGGGTGAACTAGTGTACAATTTTGTGTCTTCTTTCTCTTTTTCTCTTCTTACATTTACCCTCAAGTTCTTGTTTTACTCTTCAATCAATTATTGAAAAATTTTTGTTCTTGGAGAATTGCTAACTTGTTCAAGTTTTTAAGAAAAATATTTTAAAAGATCAATTTACCTCCTCTTAATCTTGGTCATTATTCTTAACAAATTGTTGTCGAAAGAGAGTTACAAAGCATAGCTAGAAATACAAAATGATTATAATTTCATGATATGACATGGACGATTACAAATGTTATATGTGATAATAAAACTACTTGAAAAAGAAGGAAAAATTGATTAATAGGAAAAAAATATTTTATTTACTTTATTTTGTTTTATTTTTAGCAGTTAGATAGAATAATAAATAAATAAAATCAAATAAATGAGAATAAGGGTGATGACAAATTATATTATACCTATATTCTAAAAAATGTTATCAACATATAAAAAAGGAACTATTTTAGAAATTTTTGCAGCTTGAGTTACCATTTTTATTTATTTTTTGTACTAATTTCTATTTTATTTTTGATAATTTACATTTCAAGTAATTTATATTTCTTGCAAATTATATTTCTTACAATTTTCTCGTCGTTTATTTTTTCAATAATTTACCTTCTCCAGTAGTTTACGTTATCACATTTTAATTTGTCAAATCTTTATTATTTTTAGTTAATTTTAATGAAGTCTCGTTAAGTATTTAAGTAATATCTAAAATTACACTAAAAATACAAATTCATTTACAAATTCATAATCAAGATAAATTTAATATTTTTATCAAATTAATAGGTAAAAGATCCATGATTAAGGTTTACTTGAAATTAATTATTGATGGAATATTGGTCAACGTAATTGTGTTCTAAATTTAATTTAAACATTCTTTGAATTGAATTTTTTTAACTTATTAGCTTAAACAAAAAGAATATACAAGAGATAAATAATTTGTATTGGAAATATTAATTGGGGCAAACTTAGATATATTTGTTAAATACATCAAACCATTCTTTACGGAAACATCGTACATGATTAATTAATAAGAGAAGTTTATATGACTAATTAAAAAAAGTTATAATAATATGGATTATTTTAGGATTAATTAATGATTTCTACGAATATATAAACCATAAACCCTAAACAATTAACTCTTACGTGGCTAATTGCTCGTAAGCGATGATGTTTGGGACCATGATGGTAAGGTTTGGTTGTACCCATCTTCTCACATATTTGGCATGCTGTTCGGGGACCATCTTATCTCACATTGCCAAAAAAATTGCTTTGTTTACTATATTCCTCCCCGGAAGATTCTTCTCTGCTATATTTTATTAATTTAAGTTTATTTATTAAATTTAATCATCATATAAAAATATTCTTTAATCTCCACTTTAGTTTGGTAAGCTCAAATTATTAGATAAGTTAATTAAAAGCTGAAAAGTTATTTAGTAAAACAAGTTTTGATTATTTTATAACTATAAATTAGAGTAATTATTATCACATATTTGTTACAAAGTATTTATCGATTTTGTTAATGACTTATATATATTAAAAAAATATATTAATAAAATAAATATTAATCATATTCAATTTTTACTACACTATATATATCAAATATTAATAAAGTATGTAATAATGTTAACTGTGACAATAATAATAATAATAATAATAATAATAATAATAATAATAATAATAATAATTATTATTATTATTATTATTATTATCTTAGTTTTTTTTTAACTTTTCATTATCAATCTTAGTTTTTTTTTTTTTAACTTTTCATTACCAATCTCAAACAAGAGAAAAGATATCTAGAGACAATGTTTATCTGAACTCGTCCAATAACATCTCCATAATGTTTCAACAAGATGAAGTGTGGAATGGTAACAACATAAAAATAAAAAAGTGTTAAAAGAACATTATTAATTTATATAAAATTTTAATTTTATTGGTTATAATTTTTTTCTTTTCACTCTCAAAAGCTTCAATTTTGTATTTGATTATTTTTAAAATTTATTATTATTATTATTATTAAAATTGTTTATGTTTATTAATTATTATAGAAAAATGGATTTACTGACAGATAAAAAAATTCGTCAAAAATAATTATAAATTTGTCAAAAAATATAATAGATAATTATCGATAATATTCATAAAAATTCTCATTTATTAAGTATATCATTTATCGACGGATTTTCATTGAAAATATCTGTTGGTAATATTCAAATTTCTTTTCTATACATAATAATACACATTTTATATCAGATGTAACACCAAATTCAATTCAACTAAAATGACAATGTTTGGTGTTAGTACTTGAATATGAAGATGGAAAAGAAGCTTATAACATCCCTTTACATTTATACCACATGTGTTTTGTATAGTGGCGTGATCCTAAGGTGTGAATGTGACACTTTATTGTTGTTTTGATTTTTGCTGCACTATCATATATTTGGATGCAGTGGATCTATTATTATATTTTGGTAATTTTGATATTTTGTGTTTGGTTCAGTGTTCACACTTTTAGTGTTGAAGGAGTAAATTGCATTGCTGGTCTTGGATAGAATGCAAACCAAAATTTGGATGTATCATTCAAGCACAATGCACACACAATAAACTGGTTTAAAAGGGTGACCTATCATTGAAAAACTTTAGTCCATTTCTATCCATAAAAAAAGAAGAAAAAAAAATCACCTTATCGGCAGGACGTAGCTCTATAAATGATTCTGCCATGTTGGCATATTCACACACAACGGAAGAAGAAAAGAAAAGCCTTAATTTCTTCCATAGCCAGCCCAAGCAATGGCGAGTGCAACGCTGTTTGCTCTCTTCCTAGTTTCTGCCTTAACCTTATACCCTCCTTCAGCCACTGCTCAACCTGTCACCGACATGTATGGCAACGTCGTTAGAAATGGTGGCAGATTCCATATTTTGCCGTACATCTTTTCAAACGGCGGTGGAATAGACCGAATCGCCACTGGAAACGAAACTATCCCTCTCACTGTTGTGCAATCTCCCTTCGAGACCTCTAAAGGGTTACCATTGCGAATTACATCCATATTTCGTTCTGGTCATATCCCTGAAGGCTCTATAGTGTTCGTTAAGTTCGAATTAATTCCATTGGGTGACACCTCTCTTGAGTGGACCGTTGTTGAGGGTCTTCCAGAAGGATCTGTTGTTAAAGTTAGTGGCTACCCAAATACTGTGAAAGGTTCCTTCTCTATTCACAGAGATTCCTCCTCGCCCGATAGGTATAAGCTTTTGTTCTGTAATGTTGACCGCAGCCTCTGTGGTAATGTTGGGATTGCTAGGGATGATGCAGGAAACAGGCTTTTGGTCATCACTCAGGACAAGCCATTCGTGTTTGTTCTTGAGGAACTTGCATCACCATCTACTGCATCTGCATGAGGCACCACTCTCCATGAAAAATCCTGCACTTTGGATGTAATAAATTACTGCAAGACTAAATAAAATATCCAAAGCTTAATTATCTCTTCCCTTCTTTTCCTGTGTTCATATTTCTAGAGCCACAAAATTTGTTTTAATTTTATCCGTTCCATCTCCAAAACCATTCCACCACAGGCCGTATCTAAAATAATTGAGAACTCAAAGGATAAAATTATAAAAGTAATTAATGGAGTATTAATTATTAATTTAACTGCAAAATTATTAATCAAGTTTATATATAATCAAATAATTCAAAAGTTTATGCTCTGAAGATTAAATTGTCAATGTTAACACATTCAATCTACTTTGTTAAATTTTATGTACTACACGATATTCAATTTTATTCGGAACACGACATTAAATAATTCAAACTTCTCCAATAAAAAATCCTTCTCTTTAATTGTCCTAAATCAAATTGGTAGTATTTTATTTTAATTTTTTTTATATTAACAAATTTTAAAAAATATAATTCATTAAATTAAAAAAAGCAACAATAAAAATATAAATAGATATTTGTATTGCAAAACAAAAGAAAAAAAATGAAAAAAATTATTCATTGATATTATCCGCTAAAAATAAATGAAAGTATTTTTTTTGAGTTATGGTTGCCAACACCACCACCGCAAACAAGCTTTTCAAGGTTAAAAAAAGTTTTTGACGACCATTTTTTAATTGTTGTTGATTAATGTGGTAAAAAAAACGAAAATATCTAGCTATGGTCGAATCTCCACGTATGACAACAAATTAGTAACAGGAGTAGTCGAATAAAATTTAATATGTAATTTAAATTTATAATATAATATCATATGTATAAATATAAGGTGAATTAAAAAAATAAAAAACTAGAAGAGAACTATCCTTGTTACTTATAAGATCCGCTGTCGTTGAGTTGGTTCTATGCATGTTGTTGCTCGATTATTAGAGTTGTCAAAATAGAATAAATTTAATTAATTAAAATTTTAAATTTTATTAACAAAATTATTTTTTATTTAAAATATAATAATTTAATATAAATTATAAGAGAATACATTTATTTAATTTTAAAATAAAAATAAAAATTTTATTTTTTTAGTAATTTATTAATTTAAAATAATAATTAATCTTAATTATTAGATTTTGGGAATAGTGATATTAGAAATTTATTATGATATTTAATCTTAGAACAACAAAATCTCTTGTTAAATTAATTTATAATACATATATATTTTTTAATAAAATAATATTTATTTTATTTTATTTAAAAAAATTATTATTATTCTATAAAATGGACCGACTTATAAGTCTACATGTTAGTCTGACCTAAGCCTATATAAAACATGACCTAGATCTAATAAAAATAGGTTTTGTTTAATTTAAACTATAAATTATAAACTTTTTTATTTTACCTGATTTATTTCTCATACCTTTGGGTTGTTCTATCGTATTAAACGTATTTTGATATACCTGTCACTGAGACCTTCTTACATTATCTTCTTCCTTTTTAATGGGCATTAAGACTAGCACATTTAGGAAAACTCAAACATTAATACTCATAGTAACAACATTCAACGGTGATTCTATAATATATGTAACATTGCTTTTTAAACTCTTGTTGCAAATCCAACAATATTGGTTATAAAAAAAAATCGATGTTCAAAATGTGGATATTCAACATCAGTTCTAGAGGAAAATGATATTGAATATCAATACTTTTAAATTTAAAATTTTAAATAATTAAAATAGATATATTTAAATAACAGTTACAACATTAAAAGAAAGTGATGTTAGAGAAGTGTTCTCTTAATTATATTTTTTTTATTTTGGAATTTTTGAAATTGATTGCATTATAATCGATGTGGTATCCTATCATGAAATGTATTGTCATCGTGCCATTTTTGAAATTGATTGCTTTATAATCGATGTGGTATCCTATCATGAAATGTATTATTTACATTAGTGATAAAACGAAGAGAATAAGAAGGACTAATCTATGTTGAAGTTTTTTATGTGTAAAAGCTTTGAAGCATGGCCTGGTTTAATGAGTCGAACTCTCTCACGGTGAATGAAGATGTAGTAGAGAGTGTGTGGTGGTTTGTTTTTTTATCCTATGTAAGTTTCTCCATAAATATTTTTTTATCTTGGGATGTGGTTAGAAAGCCTCTTAAAATTGATTTTGAAGTTATCTTTGAAAAAGGGAGTTTTTTCATTTATTAAAATATTGTTTTAATATGTTAAAATGTTCATAAAATATCTTTTTATGGATTAAAATATCATATTAATTAATTAAAATCACTTAGAGCTATAAGTAGTTCTTGATGTTCAGTTTTAATATGTTAAGATGTGTTTTTAATTTATTAAAATGTTCCTGCCCATTTTTGAAGATTTTTTAATCTTGTTATATATTAATTTGTTAAAAGTTTTTTTAATTGATTAAAATGTTTTAGGCTTTAAGAGTGGTTTCTAGGCCTTGTTATTTTATTTGATTAAATGACTTTTAATATATTAAAACGTTTCAATGTTTTGAAAGGGTTTTTGAAGCTTTTTGTATTATTTGATTAAAATTATTTTAATTGGTTAAAAACTCCCTATATTTTGACTATTTTGTTTTAATATGTTAAAACTCATATTTAATCAATTAGTTTCACACCTAAGAGAAATTAACAAATTAAAATACAACTTTAATCAATCAAATTTGTTAATTGAACTCTATATAAAACTCTCATTTCTTAATCTTTTGACAAACAATTTGAATCAAATTTTCACATGTCATTTTTCATACTTTAAGAAAGTAATTGTTTGTGTTGAAGAAATGTTCTTGGAAGCTTTCTTGTTCAAATCTTGAGATCAATCATTTGTGTGAAGGAGGAACCTTTTATTCTTCACTTGGATATTCAATTTTCTCCTATATTAGTTGGTTTCCTAGGTGAAAGTATTTCATTTCTTTCTTGTTAATCACGATTTGTACTGCAATTTTGGATAGGATTTCTAGATCATGGCATAGCCGTAGGGTGTCACTAGTCTTGGAGAGTGTTTTTCTTGTAAGGTTCAAGAAAAATTTTCATGAGTAGATAGGTTATATGTTGTTGTAAAAATTATGTTGTTTTAGTGGAGCTTTTTGTTGGTGTAGCTAAGTATTGGATGTAGATTTTAATTAAGAGTGAACCAGTATAAATTTTGGTGTCTTTCTTGTTTTCCTTACTCTCTTACATTGAAACAATTGTCCTTGTACGTTCTTTATGCTTACTTGTTGATAATAAAAATTGATTTCCAAATCTTTGACCAATTGGTTGATAAAGATTTTCATTCTTGGTTACCCACGTAAAATTTTTCAAAAAAAAAAAAAAAAACATTCAAAGTTCAATTCACCCCCTTCTCATCAACTCCATTTTTTTTCCAACATTTGGTATTAGGGGGAAGATCGTGAAAGTTACTCCAAATTAGATCATGATCTTTTAAAAAAAAAAAAAAGGTTGAGAATAAGCTTCCATTTGTTGAAAGGGCTTCCATTAATAGACCACTTATGTTTTGTGGTGTCAACTACCAATTCTAGAAAGTGAGAATGAAAATTTTCATTGAATCAATATATAGAGGTATTGAGATGCAATTATGAATGGGTCATATATTTCAAAGCATGTTGTAAAATAATGAGCTTGTTGAGCAACTTTAATTTGAACTTTCTGAAATTGATAGAATGCATTATGATTGTGTTACTAAGAACATCATTACTTATGCATTAAATATGAATGAATTATTTAGAATATCTCAATGCAACTCAGCTAATGGAGGTGTGGGACATATTGGAAGTCACACATGAAGGCACAATTGATGTCAAGATAGCAAGAAAGCACTTGGTCCAAGAATATGAGCTCTTTAGGATGCAACAAAGTGAAAGCATTATTGTTGTACAAAAGAGATTCACACATATTGTCAATCATCTTATTGGATTAGAAAAGATATTTGATAAAGAAATGTAGATCCCAAATCTTGTCTGGCTTCACAATAAAGCCAGAAGACCTTCGTTCGAAGATGGACAATGCCTCTTTAGGCCCCTAGGCATGTTTACTAGGCTTCATATTAAGATAGGAGGACCTTTTGTACATGAAAGTAAAAGAATTTTGTCCAAAAGCCCGAGACAGTCGTCCCGCTTGCCCAGACGGTCGTCCTACTTGGCCAGACGATCGTCTCGTTTGGCGAGACAGCTGTCTCACCACTTATAAGACGAGATAGTCATCTCGTCACTTGGCAAGACGGCCGTCTCGACTCTCAAGTGGCAACGACCGTCTTGATTGGCGAGACGGTCGTCTCGTCTGACAAAGATCGAGACGACCGTCTCGGTCTGACAAACGCGAATTCCTATAAATAGGGGTCCCCTTCCCCTCGTTTTACACACTTTTCACCCAAATTTATCCTCTTATACTCTTCTAAAACCTCTCTGAAGCATTTCCAGAGTTCGAGTACTCTTTTCAGACACTCTTTAGTTAGAGTCTTTCTGTCGCTAGAAGAGTGAGCAGCATTGTAGAATGAGAGGATAACCAAAAAGCAACCTCAAATCTTCAAGATTTTTAATACAAAGCTTGCTTCGGAGGTTTCTTATCTACTATCCCTTTTACTGCTTTCATTACCATTCCTCTTGTATGAATTAGACATTAGGGTCATGTAGACGTTTACATTCTCGCAAGTAGATAAATAAATAGGGTAAAAGTATAATTTTTAATCTTTATTTTATAAATTAGTCCATCATAGGGAACCCGAAAGGCGTGTTGTGGGGTGCTAACACCTTTTCCATACGTAACTAACTCCCTTACCCAACTCTGGTTGTAATGACCAAAGTTAGTTTTCTAAAAACCAACGCTTTTTTTCCTTTTTCGATGTTTACGGTAAAAATATCAGTGGCGACTCCATCGAACATTTTCGAAAACATCGCCTTTAGGTCCAGCCCGATTATTGGACAACCTAAATATGTTGAACATTTTCTTTAAAAA